GATTGGGGGTGGTAAAGCAGGCGGTCCACCCCATTTAGGTTCGTTCAAAAGTGAGGTGGGACGGATCTATTTAGGGGTCTGAGCTCAAAAGTCAAGTCTGCCCCGTTTACTAACGAGTTGGTGGGTCGGCACGCCAATTTTTAATTTTTTTTTAATTTTACAATTTGATTTAATACATAATTTAGAAAAAATTTAATTATTACCAAAGAGGTCGATAAAGAAACTTTTTAACAACGCATAATAGAACTTGAAGATGTCTTAAGTCCAAACAATTCAAAAAATCTAATAAATAAATATCAATTACAATAAAAAAACAAAATAAACTCAAGCAAAATATAAAAAAATCAAAATAAATAAACAATACATATCATCCTAATCCTATTTAAAAACTAACTACTAAAAGAACCCAATTTAGAATTTAAACAAACCTAACAATGATAACAATAATATTGTATAAAACATCACATTGCATAAAACAGTAATGCGTAAAATATCAACACTGAACTTTCTTACTATTTACATTATATAAACTCTTATATTAACTGATTCTTTAATAGTTAAATCCTAAATTTGTCATACGTATACACTAATCAAATCCTTCCTCTTTTTTTAAAAGTCAACATCTATTTCTAAAGAAAACATCTGAACTAATATATTGAAAACTTAATAATTATGCATGTCATACATTTGTTCTTTTATTTCAATCATTTTCAATCAACACACGTATTAGAAAGTTATAGAAAGAACGTTACAATTATAATTCAATTTGTCTGTATAATAATTTATAATACAATCCTAAGAGATAAGTGTTATTTTTATAATTAAAGTTGTTTTAATTCTTAATAAAAAGAGTAAAAGTTTTAACCAAAAACCCACAGAAAAAACTCGTCCCACTCTACCTTGACCCGTTTTTTAAGCGGGTTAGGCGGGACGGGCTAACTTAAGGTACTGAGCCGAAAATCTCAATCTAACCCATCAAAAATAGCGGGTCAAATAAACTAATCCGACGAACCTAACCTGTTTTATCACCTCTAATTGTGATATTCGATAGTTCAATAACATTTATTTGTGTTAGTTTTGATTTACTGTTGACAGAAAATGATCGAATCTTAGAACATCTCTTTTGCAATATATAGATGATTAAGGTCAATAAATGTGAGTTTGAACTATATATACGCTTTAATAGTTAAAGTCATTTTTCTGCAAATAATTTATTAATTTATGCCCTTAAGACACCTATTAACTTTTTCTTAATAATTATTTTATAATGGTAAAGATGTTAGAGTTATGTGATAGCTATAAATTTGTGGTTTGTTGAAACATTTTTTCATTTGAAATATATAGATATTTAAGGTCAATAAATGTGAGTTTGAGCTATATATACTTTAATAATTATCCTATAGTGATAAAGATGTTAGAGTTATGTGATAGCTACAAATTTGTGGTTTGTTGAAACATTTTTTTGGAACATAGCAACTAAATGATTATAACTTTATGATACTCACAACCTACTATACTAGACACACTACTATAAATATGGAATTTTATGATAAAGATTTCATCCAATCCAATAAAAAAGTGAGGTAAAATTCCAAGATGCATTATGTTTTTTCTCAATAAATCATTATCTACTGCATGTTTTGTTTTTTTTCTTCTTTTAAAAGTGGCACATTTTTTATTATTTAAAATTCTATTACATCAATTTCTCAAATAATTAAGGGAGTATGATGCCCAAATTTACTATAAAAGAATAATCGCTTTAAATTTTACATTAAACCTAACTCACTTGTGCAATCGCTCTATACTCTTAAACATCATTTTTTGATGGACTGCGAGATAATTTTTTTTAGTTATGTGTCGTTGTTCTTCTTACACCAATCTTTAACAAATTATTTTTCTTCTTTTAAAATCTATCTCACATAATGATGTTTTCTTTTGTTATTATTATTTTTGCTGCTGTCGTTAGCATTGTGTTAACAAAACATATTTTTATTTTGGAATAACTTTTTAATATTGTCAATTAAAGAATATTTTCTATAATATATATTAATTTCTTTGGTTGACAACATTGAGAAATTTATTCTTAATCATATTACAACACACAAAGAAATTGGTGAATAGTAAAAAAATTAAAAAAAGAAACAATACATGTTACTTCGATTTTTTTTGCATTCACCATTTTTTGGCAATAGAAATAATCTATTACCTCGATTATTTTAGAAATCGGGGTTAGAAATACCTATTTTATTTCCTTTTTTAATTTAATTTGAAAAATATTTTACCTCGGTTTTGAGTCATAAACGAGGGCAATTATAAATGTGTTTATTGAGTTTCTTCACCATCCTTAAACAAATATTTGTCATCCATTATAGATATTTTAAGCATTCTACATTTAGTTTTATAAACAATGTGAATTTGATATTCCTTATTTAGGTTCTGTATAAAATAAAATCATCTGACTCTGTCACATAATTCATAGTTTCTATATAAAAAATGATATAGACCAGTCAAAATGAGATTTAAGACAAATTATAAATGACAAAAGAATAGGTTATACCACTCGATTATTATATCAAACCGACGTAAATAATGGTATTTTCTCTTTGGTTATTAACAAAAATCGAGAGGTATATGATGCGTGTAACATAGTTTTGAAAAAAAATATTGTTGTTAGGGATGAAACCAATGATCATTCAACTATTCTCGATTATTTAGAAACCAGGGAATAAAATGATAGATTTTCATGTCACTTTTTGTTATCTCGCTTGTCTAACTGTAATAAAACCTTCTTCGTGCATGAGGTAAAATGAATTTATTTATAGTAATGACAATTCTAAAAATCAAAGTATTCAAAATTTAAAGAATTAAATATTCAATTTTTCTTAAATTTTCAGATATATTCAAAATATATAATAATTTTTTAGAATTACAAATGTAAATTTTATGTGAATCAAAATTGAAGGATAAAATAAAAAACTAAAACTTAAATCATATAGTTTGATTCTATTATTAAACTTTTTAAATTTAAAATAAATAATTAAATTATTAAAATAAAATTTAAATTCAATAATGATTAATTGAATATACGTGCAAGTAAACATATAATTTAAAATTTCAGATACTTTGACACAACATTCAAATAATTAACATAAATATATATTTTTAAATATATCACAAATATAATTTTAAGAATTATAATTTATAATAGATTCATATTTTAAGGACACGTTTAATTTGCTAAAAAACGAGGTACGAGACATGACAATTTTCTTTTTTGTTTATTTGATTCAGAAACTAATCATGTTACTGAACAAAAAATATGGTAAGAAATTGAACAAAATCATAAATTCTTGTCCCTCGTTAAATCATAGAACAACTTTTTGTCCCAAACACAAATTATCAAAAAAAATATCAAAATACAATTTTTTACTCTCTTTTTCATTATTTAATATTTTAATTCATAAATATAATATTAATATATCAATAAATAACATTATAATAAAAATTATATATTTTTATTTGGTTCATCAATACATCAAACAAAGTAGAGAAAAAAATCCCTATGTATTATTTTTCTTCTCTTTCCTTTATTTAATATTTTAATTCATAAATATCAATATTTTTATATCAATAGAAAATATTATATAAAAAATTATATTATTTTGTTCTGCATAAATATATTAAATAAAATAGAGTAAAAAAAAATATTTCTTTATCTTTTTCCTCTCTATTATTTAATATTTTGATTCATAAATATCATATTTTATATAATAATAAATAATTTTATAGTAAAAATTATATTATTTTCTGGTACATATTCATATCAAATAAAATAAAATAAAATTGTTTAACATATTAACCATCAAACATAATACAATACACAAAATTGTCTAATACTATTATGTATTGTTTAATATTATTCTATCTCATACTTCTTATTTTTTAAATCAAACACACCCTAATAATATGATTTTAAAAACACAATTAAAGTTATAAATGTGATCCCAAAAAATATTTGGACAAATATATATTGTAATCAAATTTATTGCTTTCTTAATTTATTTTAAAAATATATATTATTAACTCATAATATTAAGAAAACAAATTAAAAAATTTTTTTCATCTTAAAGTTTATTATAAATTTCTATAACAAAATTTTAATCAATATCAAATAATTAAAATCTCAAATAATTTTAGAACTTTAAAAAAGTTGTTGATGCATTAACTTATAAAAAATCACAATTATTACATTAGTATTCAATAATACCTCAAAGTCAATTGAAAAAAAATCTCAAGTAATACTAATGTTCTTGCAATCAAAATTTTAAATCTGAAATATTTTTAGAGATTCATGCAAAAAAAATATAGAAGAACATAAATTCATACAAATCATTGTAAAAGATATTTTGTGTTAAAATGGGTTACACTAACATCTACTTATGAGTTGGGCTAATGGTCTAATAAAATGGGCTTAGACCTAAAACTTTTTTTTCACAATTTTAATTATTTAATATTTATAAAAAAATTAATAAAAATGATTAGTTATTAATTAATTTTATAAATTTAATAAATAATTTTACTTATCAGTATCACGTCAAAATATATTTTTTATTCTAATCATCACTATTATATTTTTTATTTTAATCATCACTATTAAGTTTGCAAAATTAGAGAAGATCAACAAAAACATTTCAAAGAATTAAAATTGAGGACAAAAAGATGATTTTGAAAATAAAAAAAAATTAAAAATTAAAAATACATTTAAGCCAAAATTATATGGAACTAAATATATTTTTAGCAAAATAAAAAATATAGTCACTATCACTTGTATTTGACTTTTTACAGATTTCATCAAGTGGGATGAACTTTTAGAGTATATCCTAACATGTAAATTCATCAATTGAATACATGAAACTAAAATGGAAAAACAAAAACAAAGAAAACAATAATGAAATTGATTATGGAAAACATGATTCACCAAAGACCATCATCATGCTCCATCAAGAATTTGGAACCGAACATTTGATCTTAGATCTTCCTCGTATCGTAACTATCTTCATTACGAAACACCATGTCATTGTAAGTATAAGTGCTGGTAAACGACCCACTACAAGCCCAACAAGTGCAATTACAAATAAAACTAAGTAACCTGAATTCCCAACTCTCTCTGTTCTCTTTTTCTCTTCACTATTCACCATCATGTTTTCTAGTTTAACATTATGCAACAATGGTGATTTACTCCCACTATCCACCTCCTCTTTTATCTCACAATCCTTTTCAACTTCTTTACTCCAACAATCTTCTTTACCTCTTTTTTCCTTTGCCTCTTTTCCACAACTTTGCAATTTTTTACTCAAAAATTTCTTCAACTTTGATTTCAACTTAACACTGCGGCTAACTTTAACTGAAACGTGACATGAATCCACAACCTTTTCATTTGAATCAGAACAATCTAACTTCTTGTCTCCCTTTACACAGTTCAGTTGAAGAACATCATCCTTAGAAGAACATACACCGACAACCTCAATTTCTTCGAAGGAATCAGTTACACACGATTCAGCTTCGACAACCTTAATTTCCACACGCTTCCGCAGGTATTCAAGAAACAGAAGCGCAAATGCTGAAACAGTGATCCCGACGGTTAGTTTTTCAACGCTCGCGATCGAAACGACAATCACTAACATCATTAAAAAGGTAACAAGTAACGTTTTTGAACCGGACCCGTCATTGTTCTTTTCAACCCGATTCACCCCACGACCCGAATCATTAACCCCATCATTTGCGTCGGTGGTGGCCCACAGAGTCAAACTCGGATACTCGTGGCGATCCAACTCGGTGGTTAAACTGGGTATCTCTGGCGACGGTGGATCAGAAGTTTGGCGATGAAACGGTTTGTCGGACTTGGGTCTTGTGAAGCGGCTACGGTTATTGATCAAGAGAGCGACGAGGGTGGCAGGGAAACCGGTATGAGCGACGATAGGAGAAGCACCGCGTTTGGATGACTGAAGATCGGCGATGATTTGAGAAAATTGGGTTACTCTGTTTTTGTTGAACCATGGAATAGGCATGGTTGATTACAATGTAAATTAGAGTTTGGAAGAGCGAGAAAAGATGAAAACATTTAAGGTGTTGATCATGCTTTTATAGCTGGGAATGAATCAAAACCAATGAACGTGATTGGAGGGATACGTTCATGATTTTCGGCCAAGGGAGAGAGAATTTGTATATGATTGTGGAAAGAGGGAGGAAGGAGAATCAATAAAGTGGTGTTCCATTATACGAGAGAGTAATGTGTATTTTGATTAGGATATTGATTTATTTTGTGAACCTTTTAATCTGTTTAGCATGTGTTATGTGCTGCTAATAGTGGGAATTAAATATTGCAATCAATTACCATAAATGAACAACCGCAACAAAAGTTAATGATATCAAATGAGGATGAGGATTCCCTGCACTGTAAATTTTCTGCACCACATAGCTTTCAATGCTAGAAATTTAGAGATTAAGGGCATATTTGTTTCGATACTTAAAATGATTTTTATAGTATTAAATATTTTGTTTAAATAATTTTTAAAACAAAATTTAAATACAAAATTAATTTAATTTATATTTCTTAAAATTCTATTTTAAATATTTTGTCCTTTTATTTTAATTTTTATTTCAAAAATTTTAAAACAGAATTTAAATGAAAAATTAATTTAATTATTTTTTCTTAAAATTATATTTTATATTTTTATTTTAACTTTTCTGGACATCAAAATTTCAGTTATAAATACTGGAAAAAAACTTTTTATTGTCATTGAATTTCAATCATTCTTTAATGTTACTCTGTCTTTAATATTACTCTATTTTAAAGTTATATATTTTCAATTAAAATAATTAGTTGAATTGTAAGATATGGTTTAAGATGTCATGATATTGTGTGAGACTTTTTTGTCTCTAAGATTATGTTTGGTTACGTAAGAAAGAATGAAACGGAATGAAGCGGAGTAAGATGAGACGGAGCGAAACAAAGGAGAATGAAATAAAGATGTCATTTTATTGTTTAACTATATCATGATGGAATAGAGTATATTTGTCATTCCACTCAAATTGGAGGATATAAAAAATGATGGAATAGGATGGAATGCATTCCATCCGGTATCGCTCCATTCCATCCTTTTTAATCTATCTAAACGATGAACATAACTTTATTCCATTCAATTTCGTTCCATTCCATCTTATTCTATCAATCCAAACATACTCTAAAAGCTTAAACTTGGAAATAACATGTGGAGCAAGATATTCAACATATTGAGAGACATTCTACCTCGCTCAAAGCCAGTATGTGCTGAGTAAATCTCGTGTGTTGAAGAATTATTTTCATTCTTGTTCAATGTTTAATTGACTTATGTGCCTTTTGGAATATGGAAAGTTTTCCCAAAAGATCATTCTCCAAGAATAAAAAAGAACATCATATTAATGAAGAATTATGTCTCGCGCTTTTGAATTTGCTTCAGCCGCACGAAAAGTTTCAATCCCTAATGGGTCTTGCACTTGAATATTTTTACTATTTAAGGATGAGTTCTCCATATAAAGACACACATCTTGATAAACAAGCAAGACATATTTAGTTGTGTTGATTCTTTTGTTTTAGTTTTAGTTTCGTGTTGTTAAACTCTATTCCCTAGTCATATTATTCCTATATTAAGGAATTAAGTTGTTTGAGTTGTAATTTATTTCATCATTCTAAAATATTGTAACTGTCCAAGCACTTGAAAAAGTGTTTGAGAGAAAGTGAGAGAAGTCTCGTATTCAGAGAGAGTTTTGAATAGGAATTAACGAGTAATATTAAGAAAATAGACTTTGAACTAGAAGGGTTTAACTAAGACCAATTTGTACTTGTACTATTAAGAGTGACTTTCCTTTCTTGGGTTAATACCCTCCGGACGTAGGTGACTTTACATCGAACTAAGTTAACAATTTCTTGTGTCCTTTTACTTATATTTGTAATTTATATGTTACTGCATTAATCTTGTCATATACATTGTTATGACATTTTATTTGTCATTTTCTGTTAGACGAACAAAATTTCAATTGACATAAGAGCAAGCACCATGTTCTGTTTGGGTGAGCTCCAGGGGATTCATACATTCTGTTCAAAATGGACAATGCTAAACAAGGAAGATCTATAAACTGGCCTCCTATTCTAGATGGCATAAACTATGGTGATTGGAAAGTTTGCATGGTTGCCTTCCTAAAATCATTGGATAGCAAAACACGAAAAATGATCATTAAAGATTGCACTGAAGGTTGAAGAAACACAAGAAAGAGGAGCTTGAATTGGATTTCTAATATGATAACTTTTTTCGAACCCGAAGACAAACTCTACAATGATAAAAATACTCAAGGATTTTTTATTTGTTCACTGTTAACTAAGTTAATCTGGTTGACTCGTCAGAGTGAATTCGCCTTCTCAATAAGAACTTCATCCCATAATCAATCAGATTACAACTCAAAGACCAACTGTCAATGACTTCTAGAGGCTACAGACTACACTTAGTCCCTCAAGTCATGCAATCTCAAAGACACAATGTCAATGACTTCTCGAGGCTACAAACTAAACCTAATACCTCAAGAAATTCAATCAGAGTTACAATACAAAGATTATGTGTTTACAATAATACTTCTAAACAAGCAGATACACAATATGCAATTCAGACTTTACACTTAAGACAAACATACATAGAAAAGCTCTAATTATAGTGAGTGTTGTTTCTCTTGTTGTTTCTTTTCTCTTTATCTTTGCCTTTTGATATTAGACTTTTTCACCCATATTTATTTTGTTGTGATTCACTATTTTTCCATACAAGTTCTTCCAACTTTAAAAATTCTTGTCCTCTTTAAATAGATGGTGAATAATATCGTTGGAGGATAGAATTGGAAGAGGATGAATAATGTTGAAGGGTGAAAAATGGAAAACCTCATCAATTTTGATAGTTGTAGTAGTGGTGCGAGGTTGAGTCGTATAACATGGAGATTTATTAGCCGTGCAATCCTTCTATAATTCCAGCATATTTGTCCTTTTAAGAAATATTTTATTTGCCACTTAAATGTAACATCTCCAATAATATTATTTCAATCATTGTTATCTCAATCACTGGCTTCACATTTTAAGATGATTTGAAACTTAATCAGAATTCAGAGTGTCGCGGTGGAAAAAATTGAGATTAAACTATTGATTAACTCGGAAAAAACAAGAGTCGCCATCAAACTATATTGTTTCCAAAGAAAAGAGAAAATATCGAGAAAACCCATTGCGAAAATAAAACAAAAGAGAGATTTGGATACGGGGGTATGTTATGCAAGGGGGAGATATTAATACCCCTTACATCTATGGTACTCCATAGGAACCTCTTGAAAATCTATGTTATGATAAAACTGGATTATTTGCAAAAATATTGGGGTGGTAAGAAAAGAAGTATTTTTTTAAATTATTTTTGTGCCCGCCAAGACTTCAAGAGCTCTGTGTCTATGTATCCTCCATATGCAATGAAGAATTCATAGCCTCGTAGTTCATGGTAAAAATAACCACGAAAGTTTGTTGATTGATTTTAAATTGAAAATACATTTTGTCGTATTCAAGTGGAAAATACAACTTACTACCCACAAGTATGAGAAAATGAGCATTTACTTCATCTTGATATGGATAACTTTTACTTGGACTTTCTTACAAGCGCATCCCAACATTCAAGTGGAAAATGACAATCACTTCACAATATAATGTAGAAGTATAGTGGTTTGCATCACTATTAGAATAAACTAATATTCAATCTTTTGAAAATGTTTTAAAAGAAAAGTGTACAAAGGCACAAAAAGAAATTTGTTGAGGTTTGTCTTTTTTAGAAGTTTTGAAAAGAGTTTTAGAATGCTAAGTGTTTTAGCATTTATTAAGAAAAAAGATTTTAGGGGTCACTTGACAAGGTCAAGGTTTATTAATAAAATGTTTGAAGTTTGAAGAAAGAAGTTTGGAAAATAAGGAGAAGTTTTAAAAAATTGAAGAAGTGGGTAGGAGATGAAGAGACTATCCCAAAGCATAAAGTAAATGACATGAAATAAAATGTCTCATTGTAAGGTATCCAAAGAGAAAACCTTTGTTGTGAAAGTGTACTAACCATAATATGAAGGAAGCATTTGACATTGGTTAAAATGAGCATTCCTTTCTCTTTGGATTAATCCACGAGATAAGCAAATCACATGAGCAAGAACATAAGCAGATGAATCATCAAGAGCAAGCAATGGGAGCAGCTGAACACCAAAAGATCCAGATGAATGTCTAGTTCATAGAGCCATAAATATAATTCCAAGTATTCAAGTAAAGATCAAAGTGTCATAGCCTAATTTTTACTCCTAAGGTTCCATCTTCATTATCATGTGCATTGCATCAAAGTTACAAACGTGGTAGCATCTTAAACCTCCTATCTTTGGGATTGTTGTGTATGTTATACCCCAATTTTTGCCCATAATATCCCTCATTATCTCATATTATCAATACATCAATATCTCATATTAGGGTTAGTTCTCCTTTCTACTTCATCCTATCTTTAAGTTTGCTCTTGACGAATCACCAAGCACCTTGAGTTGTATATCTTGTACATGTGTTCTTTTAACTAACATCAAAATATGTATATATGTTTCTTTAAATGTTCATATTGTAGGTGATGACACAATTGCATCCATCTCACCATCTAACCTAGGATTTGAGGGAGGGTCCTCAGTCAAATGGTTCTTCAATAGATTGTAAGAGCTTAAGCTTCAAGACTATGTCTATGGTATAAAAGTTGTTGATTCAAAGAGCTCTCTCACTTTATTTAGGTTAATTTTTCCTCAAGGTTGGTGGTGGCATTCATCAATAAGATTCATAGGTTCATGTGTTTATTTCCATGCCTTCCTCAACAAGTTTCATTGAGACTTAAGCTCAATCTTTGAGTTTGCTTCAATACAACATCATTTCAAGGTCTAATGTGATCCATCATGCTCTATTTTTCAAAGAAAGTTTAAAAGATTCAAGGTTGATTCAACAAGTTTG